AACGATGTATTTAAACATCGATTCAACCTGGAGGTGCTGCTACGACCAATTTGAACATCGAAAACAGTTGATATCGCAATCTTCCTTGTCAGCGACGTATCATGATGGTCATGGCCTTCCAATGTCAGGGCAAGTAATTACGTACCCCTCCTACCCACCGTGGTATAAAGCTCTAGAAGACTGATAGTACCCCCCCTTCAAGTATTCCCTACCACCCATGAACTACTCGTTTTAATTTTTTGGTTCAGCATCTTCTCTAGCTTATGTCAGCATCTATGTAGTAAAGTCAGCGCCCTTTCGCGGAATTTCTCTCCAGGCACGGGCTTTGGGTACCCCTTGAATCACGCTTTAATCAGGGGTTATCGTAGCTCGAAGAAGCCAGGCCTCAAGTCTAGCCATGACCAAGCCGTTGGATTGCTAGAGAAAAGGAGTGATTTCATTCCAGTTAAACATATGTTGTAAAGATAGTATGTGTAGCTGCCATGGAGCTTTCGTGACCATCTCGAGATCTCTTGTTCCGAAGGTTGGCGGATCTTTTGACCTTCAGGGTGGGGTAGTATATTGTCATCAGAGTTGGTGTCCTGAATGGTACACTTTTCAAATTTGGTACCCATCTCCACCCTTTTTCAACTCAAAAGAACGGGTATTTGACCATGATTTTACTTCTATAGTTTCAGTGAAGTTGCGCTCATGGTCATCAAGGGGGTGGGGGTACTTCATTGATTTTGATCGCCAACTTTCTTTGGGTGTTCCGACTTGTTGAGTTCAGATGCACACCCCACCCATGTAGATTGCTTCCTGTGATGATCCCTACCCCTTCTTCTTACACCCCTACCCTTTATACCAAACCTTCAATCACAAATAACCCCCTTTGATAACCAAAATATTCTCTAAAAATACCCGGTATACAATGGACCCTACCCATATTTAGATGGCTATCTGTGAAAATACACACCTACTACCCACCCTCTGATTCCTCCAACCCCATGTCGACGCGTCCCTCCGACACTATAAAACCCAAACCTGCTGCTGCCAATGCATCCGACTCCTTCTCCCCCCGACACCACCCGCGCTGCCCGTGCCTGAGAGCTCGTACCTCACTTCACTTTGTTCGCATCCTTCATTCTTCTTCATCCCTCCCTCCCCGACATCTCTCCCTTCTCCTACCCCAGACTTCATGTTCTTTCAGATGGAGCATATCAACGCTCACCAAGAAGCTTGCAAGTTCGACTCGGGACATTTCGAGACTTATGACAAGATCAACCTTGACGTTCTGAGAGAAAGCATGTCTTTCATCCCCTTCTCGCACCCCGAGCTCGCTCACGTGTCGGCCGCCGATGCCATGGCGAGAGAAGCAAACAAGGAAGACGCCTCCTCCGCGATTTCTTGCACCAGGTTTCATCTCTTGTTGCTGAACTCCTACAGGCTGACTCTGCTGCAGCTCTGAGCACACGTCGGACTTCGAAGAGATGGATGAAGTCACCGACCAAGGAACTGGCTCGCGATCCCTCCTTGTCTGCCCGAGAAAGAAGAAAGCAGCGGCAGCTGCCCAGTCTTCGGACAAGGACGAGCCTGTAGTGATAACCAAGAAGCTTCTTGAAGGCCTCTACGGCATGCCGTTGAGCGAAGTGGCCTCGAAGCTCAAGATCTGTCCCAGCGCGATCCGCAAGGCCTGCCGGCGCCTCGGGATCGAGAAATGGCCGTTCAAGAGCAGGAACCCTGGCCCCAAGAGGAAGTCGATCTCGGAGAGTAAGGAGGATGCAAAGCAGGAGGAGGAAGGAAGAGCTCCCCCCCCCTCCTCCCACCCGTCCGCACGTCAAGGGTCCTCGTTGGATGCCAGCACGGTTGAGGTCAAGCCTGATCCGCACCCCGTCGACCCCCAGCCCCAACCGGTGGGGGAGAGGAAGAGCTGCGGCAACAGGGAGGGTGGTAAGAGTTTGGATGTTGTGCAAGCAGCAGGAGCTGACGTTGTTGCTGCAGGATGGAACCTTGACGTTAGCTGGATCCCCCACTCCTCAGACTTCGCGGACGATGCAGAGGAGGTGAGAGGAGAAGAGAGTTTGCTGCGATTGTTGCGCTGACGGTTGTCCTCTCAACAGGCTTTCTGGAACAACATCCAGCAGGCTATGAACAATCCTGCTCAAGGAGGGAAAGTCGACGCGTCTGATAGGATGTGAAGGCATGACGGGGAGATCAACGACATTGTTAATTTGTTTACATCATGTACTTTAGCAGCTGTACATTTATACCATGAATACTGAATCGAACACCTGGAAGTTTTCTGCTCTGAAATATCTCTATCCATCTCCCCCCACCCCACCCCACCCCACCCCAAAGCAGCGCCTTCCTGCTATCCAGCAATCACTCCAGCAGCAGCTCCAGCAAACTCTGGAAGTCTGTCACGCTCAGTGTCTTCTCGTCCCGACCGGATTCCTGCACGTTAAGGTCATCTTCCCCGTCTTCTCCCTCCTCCTGCTTGTATCCCCTCCTCTTCCTCCTTTGACTTGTTCCTGCTGCAGTCTTGTCCTTCTTGTCCTCTGCTCTCTGAACCCTCGTCATCCCTCCTTTCCTCCAGCTGCCCGTGTTGTCCCGCGCTATCCCCTTACATCCCCCCCCCCCTCCTCCTCCTCTTCCTCCCGCGTGTAGACTGCGAGACGCACCGCATGGAACTGTGAGAATTCATGGAAGGCTGTAACTGCCTCGTGCAGCGAGAACATCTGCATGCTCGAGTCAAGTAGCAGCTAGTCAACACATCGCTTGTCAAAACAGCTCGCGTCAACACATTTCTCTGTCAAAACAGCTACCTGCGGGACGAGCTCCTTCTGCCTGATAATCTTCACGTAGTGCTTGAAAGTGAGGAACTCATGAATGCTCGCAAGGTCCCTCGCTTCATGTTCCTCGTCCTCGTCCAAGTCAAACTCGTCCTCGTCCTCGTCCTCGTCCTCTGGCGTGTCTGTGAGCTCGCTCTGGTCCGCGCTCCATCCTATCTCAGGGATCTTGGAAGTGATGAGCGTTCGGAACTTGGGAGCCTGTCTCGTCCGTCACTTTGCAGGAGGAGCGAGCAACGAGTTCACCTCCGAGGAGGACTGCGGTACCGCCAGACTTTCTCTGTTGGCTTCCTGTTGGAAGGCGACGATCTTCTCAGCGCTGCCCTGGGTTGGCGCAGGACGGGGAGGCTCCTCTCCTCGCCCTGCTCGGTCCATGTGATCCTGCGAATGGAGGGCTATGACAGGTTGCTGTTGAGCAGTGTAGGGTGAAAAGGGAGGAGGAGGAGCAGGCGCAGGAGGAAGAGGAGGAGGAGGAGAAGGAGGAGGGTTCAGAGTGCGGCTCTGATATTCTATGCTGCTCCAGGGGACCTGCTCCTCCGCTGCCTCTGCAAGGGAGGGGAGGGAGTTGCCACCGGGGAATAGGTTAGAGCTCCTTCCTAGGTATCTTTCCTCTTGCCCCGCCCTCCCTCCCCACGTCTCCTCAGACAGTTTGAAGACCTCCGACCGTTCCTGCTGGTGCTGGTGCTGGTGCTGGTGCTGGTGCTGGTGCTGGTGCTGGTGCAGGTGCAGTCCTGGCAGAGGTTGGCTGGGGTACTGCAAGCGCATGATGTGGCTGAGCTCGAAATTGTTTCTGTCCTGGTGCAAAGGTGGGCTAATGCGAGGAGAGTTGCGAGGGCGAGGAGGCGACGGCTCCTTCCTCGCTGCTGCTGCCTTCCTGATCCGTTCCCTCACCTCCTGCTGCACCCTCTGTCTTGTCCTGTCCGCTATCACATCGGAGACATCCGACTTCGGGTTCACTGCTTCCCCTTCCGCAGGCTTCGTCCCAGTCCCTTCACCACCTTCTCACAAGGTTCAGCGCTCCTCAAGGAACGCGCATGACACGTACCCGACTGTAGACGAGGCGAGAAGTCAACTCTCCTCTCGCTGCTCCATGGCGGAGCATCGGACGCTGGCACATCCGACCCCTGGGTACCTCGGTACCTGCTCGTCCCTTGCTCACCCGTTACCCTCCTTGTGTCCGGCTGGCGGGGAGACGGCTGGCTGGCCCAGCTGCTGCTCCTAGCAGGATCATTCAGGATTGCCTTCATCCGCTCTGCCTCCTCTGAGAAGATCGCGTTTGCTCTCAGAATGTTCTCATATGCTGCCTTGTACAAGGAGTCAGACGGGTTGACCGATGGTAGGGGAGGCGCTTTGTGAATGGGAGGATAGAACGCTAGAGGGTCAGGCTGGTTGTTGACCTGGAGATCCGTCAGTCGATGAGAGTCAGAGGGATCGATAGTGTCCTCACAAGGCGAACAAGTCGGTCAACGGAGCTGGTTGCTTGTTCGTACCTCTCCCTGTACATCTCTTCCATTCGTTTCCTCATCATTCCTACTTCCTCCATCCGGCGCTTAGGATAGAAGGAGGGCTCGCGCTGCGGTGGCGGGGGCCAGGGTGTGCTGTTCCAGGGTCTATCACGAGGACTCGACAATGCTGACTTGAGCGCGTCCAAGTGAAGGAAGCTAAGATCGCTCCTCCTCGTCTCCTCCTGCACCATCTCCTGCGTCCTCCTGGCTCGTCCTGCCCTCCACATGTCGCTGGCAAGGCTCATCTTCCAGGAGCAGCACGCTGATCCTTGCGGCTCTCAGCCTCCCTGGCCCACGCCCTCCAAGACGGATCCGACACTCGTCTGACGTTCTTCAACTTGCCTTCACGCTAGGCTCCCTCAGAGTCTCCTCGTCCTCGTCCACCGTTCTTCGTCCTTGTCTTTATCATCCTCATCTCCTCCCGGCCCTTGCCCTTCAACGTGGCCATCCTCGTCCTCGTCCTCGTCCTCGTCCTCGTCCTCGTCCTAGTCCTCGTCCTCGTCCTCGTCCTCGTCCTCGTCCTCGTCCTCGTCCTCGTCCTCGTCCTCGTCCTCGTCCTCGTCCTCGTCCTCGTCCTCGTCCTCGTCCTCGTCCTCGTCCTCGTCCTCGTCCTCGTCCTCGTCCTCGTCCTCGTCCTCGTCCTCGTCCTCGTCCTCGTCCTCGTCCTCGTCCTCCTACTGACCGAGGAGAGTTCAGCGTCGATCGCAGCCGCCCGCTGTCGTCATGTGTCAAAATTTGATCCCTCGCAACGGCAGGTGTAACGGTCAAACCGTTGTGACTCGCCAGTCGGAGGAGCCTCAGGCGGCGAGCTGGGCCTCCGAGCCGCTGAGCAGATCAACAGGCCCGCTACAGATTTTACTCAAAGTTAAGTTAAGTTACACAGCAGGCTACTGGAGGCGGATGGGATGGGTTAACGCCTGGACTTCAGCATGTCATACGTTTTGCACTCTTTCAGGATCGGATGATGCGTTTGGTGCCGCTGACATCATGGCATGCTATGGCAGTGAGGCTCTGATCAGTTGCCTCAACATAACCGTGGCGGATCGCTCGGCGAACAAGGGTGACCGGGAAACGGCAGCGCTGGATGGTCTCTCGGCCTTGCACTGAAGCGGCTAGTAACTTGAAGTAGAGAAGCACCCCGGCGGGCCCCGGGCCTGCGGCCGACCGGGCCGACCCCTTCAGTAACGTAGTACCACCGGCAGTACCACCGCAGGTACCACCGGCGCGCCCCAGGGCCTGAGGGGAGATGTGGGGTGGTACGTGCGGCCCCCAAAGCATGCTGAGAGCGGGCGGAATCGCAATGCTGGTTGGGGTGGCGGCAGCGTATGCGCCAATGCAGGTAAGGAGAAGAGAAGAGAGGAGAAGTCAAGAGAGAAGGAGAGAGGAGAGGATGCGATACAAACGTGTGCTAGAAGAGGAGCAGTGAAGAGAAGAGTGAGGGAAGGATGGAATGGTTGGACGGGAGGAAGAGGAGTGAGTGAGGAGAGAGGAGGGAGGGAGAAGTGAGTTGAAGAGAAGCATTCAAACAGTTCATGTCCGGTTGATTGACAAGAGTTTCCGAGGATTGATTGTACTGTTGTACATGTCGTGCGATGGTGCAGTTGTGGTCTGACACAAACATTTCTTGCTGTTTGGTGTCTGTGCTTCTAGACAGACAGAGCAGGGCAAGAAACGATTCAGAATGCTGCAATGTCTGTGAACCATTTGTCATATGTCTCTCAACATCGTTCTAGATCATGCCTCTTCCCCTGTTGAGTTTGTCAATCAGGGCCTACACTCTCACTGTATTCAAACTTCCAAGGGTTTGGCAACATTTCGTCAAGGTAGGAGGATGGGAGTCTTTTCGCTATTCCTTCTGCTCCTGCTCCTGCTCCTGCTCCTGCTCCTGCTCCTGCTCCTGCTCCTGCTCCTGCTCCTGCTCCTGCTCCTGCTCTTTCATTTTGCTCACGAATCTTCTCCTCGCTATAAACTTTGATCGCAACACCCTGACCGCACGCTGCCAGCTCGTTTTCAAGTTGCTAGTGCACTCTCTCTAAAGGTGACTCCTTTCCTCCGCCTTCCCGTCTCCTCCCCCCTCCTCCCTGCAACTCAACTCCGCCTCCCCCGATGTCCCTATCCTCCATTTCCTCTCTCCCTCCTCCCCGTTCTCTCCCTTCCTTGTCCCCATCCCTTCTCTCTCCCTCCTTTGCCTGCCTGCCTGCCTGCCTGCCTGCCTGCCTTCTCTTCTTCCTCGGTCTCTTCCTCCTCTCCTCATGTCATTGACGCACATGCGGCAGGCTCAAGGCTCTTCCGACGCCCCCCCAGGAGGATGGGCTCCTCCTCCTTGGAAGCGAAAGATCAAGAACCCCCTCCAGCTTCTTGTAATTCCCCCCACTCTCGTCCTCGTCCTCGTCCTCGTCCTCGTCCTCGTCCTCGTCCTCGTCCTCGTCCTCGTCCTCGTCCTCGTCCTCGTCCTCGTCCTCGTCCTCGTCCTCGTCCTCGTCCTCTTCCTCGTCCTCGTCCTCTTCCTCGTCCTCGTCCTCCTTGCCTCTACCGACTTGCTTTTCCTTTCAGAAACCCGGAATGAAAGTCAAAGGGAAAGTGAGGAACATCGAAGAGTTTGGAGCATTTGTCGATGTTGTAAGAGATCATCGCGATTTTTCTGCTGTTGGTCGTTGACAAAGAACAGGGAGCGGAGAGAGACGGAGTTCTACATATTTCAGACATGTCGACGGAGTTTGTGTACAGGTGTTTGTTGAAGATGGTAGAGAATGTTCTGACATGAACTTGCAGCCCAAGAGATGTTGTGTCGCCGGGAAAAGAAATCGAAGTGAGGGATAATGGAGACGATGATGATAATGATGATGATGATGATGGAGACGGAGATGATGATGATGGAGATGACGATGATGATGATGGAGGAGATGATGATGATGGAGATGACAATGATGATGCTGCTGCTGCTGTTGTTGTTGTTGCTGCTGCTGCTGTTCACGATTAAGATTTTGTTTCTTTGACCAACATCTCTTTCCTTCTCCTTTGACAGGGTTGGGTCAAGTTTTGTGATGCCGACGCTGGAAAGCTTTGGTTAACCTTGGTGGAGGTGAATATAACTTACTGCTGCTGCTGCTCTCCCCACCCGCTCCTTCTCTTTTCATTCTCATCCTCCATTCTCCTCCTCTTTCTTTCCTGCTCTCCATTTCCTTTTTTCCTCGTCTTGCTCGTTCCTGTCCGTCGTTCTGCTTCTTCCTCTTCGCTCTGCTTGCATCACTTGTTTCTGTTCCAACACTGAATCATCACGTTAAGATGAAAGCTGTTCAATCCCAAGAAGGCCTCCCACTTGACAAGTTTGATGAACTTGTCGGTCAGGTATGTACTCCTCCTCCTCCTCCCTCTCCTCCTGTCCTCCTGTCCTCCTGTCCTCCTGTCCTCCTGTCCTCCTCCTCTTTGTGCGCCGCTGCTGCCGCCGCCGCTGCCGCCGCTGCTCTTCCTCTGCTGCTTCTCCTGCTTCTGCTGCTGTGCCTAGCCTCTCCTGCTGCTGCTTCTCCTGCTTCTCGTGCTCTTGTTCCTGCATGGCCATCCTCTTCTCCGGCTCCCTCTCCTCCTCCTCTCCTCCCTTTTCCTCCTCCTTGTCCTGGATGAAAGGCATTGACATGGTATGTATTGCAGGAAGTCGACGGTACCATTACAAGGATCACAAACTTTGGAGCATTTCTGAACGTGGGATGCGAGGTTTTTCATGACATCTTGTAAGTTTCAGGACAAGAAATCTCAACATCATTGCAGGTAGACGCATTTCTTCACGCAACTCAGCTTCCAAAGCACAAGGTAAGTGCGATCTCGATGTTTGTTAACGTGTTGTTGTCTCTTACATCCTGTTGATCAGCACAATGGGAAGAGGCAAACATTGCAGGATCTGGTGATTGGAAGGACAGTCAAAGTAAGACAGAGATGATGATGATGATGATGATGATGATGTTGATGATGTTCATGTTCATGTTGATGTTGATGTTGATGTTGATGATGATGATGATGATGACGACGACGATGATGATGACGATGATGATGATGATGATGACGACGACGATGATGATGATGATGGAGAGGATTATGATTATGGAGAAGAAGAAGAAGACGAAGAAGAAGTTGAAGATGATGATGATGGAGATGTTGATGAAGATGAAGATGATGATGATGGAGA